TGGTTGATCTTCTGAGTTATACCTTTCTCTATTAATCTTTTCACATTAAAGCAGGACTTCTGGAGGTTTTGCCCCAGAATTCTGGTTGTTAGCCCAGAGGCCAGTCATTGGCTAGGCGACTTATTTAGGGTCAGGCAAATAGAGAAATCTCATTTCCTTCTACACAAAAAATGGACATGAACCGCCAAGGATAGATGTAACAGACTATAAACTTGACACACCCTATCAAAAAAAAAATGACGCTGTAATACATACTAGATTCCAAAGTCACTAAGCCCTACCCTTTCTTCCTGTTTTCACGTCTTCAAAGGGCCACGTGTAAATCTGATTTCTCCAAATATAATATAAAATAATTTCTATTATTTAAATATAATTGTTATATATGATTATATATTATGTTATATCTATATATAAAGAAAATTAATTAAACATCAATAATTATGTCACAGTAATTTATCTTTTATCTGATAACTTTTCATATTTTACACGGGCTACAAATCTTCGACACAGTTTTTAGATATTTGCACTCATAGGCTCCCTTTTATCTAACATTGTTATTTTCAACTCCTTTTTTCCTCAGATTTAACTTTTTTACTCCTTCCTTTAGGTATTTTAAAATTTCAGTCATTTTTATTGTATTTAAGCATAACAGAAATGAGGAAGGAAGCACACAAGATGCCTTATTCCTCCTTGTTTGAGTAACTCAAAATAGCTGAATTTACTTATTTCCCAATGTCTACATAGAGCTTAACTTTGAATAGATTTGAAACATACACAAGGTTTTCAGAAACTCGTAAGTGATCAAAAACATGGAAGGATAACAAAAGTCATCTTGAGACCTTAAACACACTGTCTTTTACCACAAACAATTTACCAGCTTGTAATACAAACCTTTGAAAGAGACATTAGCCTCTCAGTTAAAATGCAGCCTTGCATATACGTGCATCTGCTTGGGAATTTTTTTTTTAATCCCAAGAAGTTTAGCTATTTGTAAAATAGATTTCTTACGTGATAAGTTTGAATTCACCAAAGAAGTTAAGTGATCTTTTTAAAAGTAGAGCATTGCAGTTTCAAATGACTGTGTTGGAAGGATTAGAAATACTCCCTTAAAATTGAAGAGATACCCCGGTGCCATTCTTGGGTCTTATCATTTAATAGATGCCACTGTGCCATGCAGGAAGTAAAGTGAGCTAATTTCCTCATGTAAATGACCTCTGTTCAGAGCTTGGTGGGCTGTGTGATCATTGGGATGGCAAATCACCCCCATACCCAATTCAGTCTGCACAGTTTTAACATGGGATTTTTTTTTCAGCTAAATATTCAAGGATTTTGTTTAGCCAGAGACAATTTAATTTAAGCTTAGCAAATACCTTTGAAGAGTTAAATTTTCTGTTTCTCACCTTCAGTTTTGTATTTATCTCTAACCCTTGAGTTGTTGATTTGCTCAAGGCATAATGTTCTTCCTACTTAAGTTTATAGATTTGGGCTCAACGCTTTGTGCAAGTGAAACTGTTGCTACTCACAGCCCTAAAGACTATCTTAACATTTATTTATTGGAACTTTTTCCTCTCTACCACAACAGTTTTTCCATTCTTTTCCATTATCAGCTGAAGATGAATCTATTTTTGAGATATGTTCCCATAACAAAAATGAGGTGATTTAACTTTGGCCAAGAAGTTAAGGATATTGAAGAGGATGATGTAGAAGTCAAAACTGTTCAACTACACCACTCTCTGGGGACATAGCCTCTTTGTGATACCGTAATAGGGTTCATTAGTTCCTCTGAATTTCTATGGGAGATCTGTGGGCTGAACTAAACCAGGAAACAGTCGCCTTCAAACTTTGAAAATGCCAGGGGACAACAGTTGACACTTTCCACTATGTCATCCTGCTGACCCTTGGGCTCTGCTTTTATCTTTCATAAATGAATCACTCTACACTGGTTTTAATTAAGAAAAATCATGTTGTGGGGAGTGCCAAGATCTGGGAAGGGACTGACCCAAAATTTATATACAACTGGCTATCTCATAAACACAAAGGACATTTTTTCTGCATAATTCACTCTCTTAAAAATTTTAAAAAAAAATTATCCTAAGGAGAGCAGGCAATTGTTTTTACAGAAAGGTTTTCATTTAAAATCCTAAAGTCGTCAATTATTAATTTTATCAGAAGTATTAATCAATTTACTCTCAGTAATAATTGTCCCAGATTGTCAAACACTGCCTGAAGTCCCCTGATTATTTAAAAAATAGTTTCACTTCTTTTGAAGCCCCCGTTTTCCTTTCCTGGGTACTGTGATGGAAATTAAACGGAGCTGATATTTTCTTAGAATAATAAGCAGTTTTTAAAACTTTGAGTGGTTTTGTAACTATAGCGACTTAACTAGCTACTATAGTTTCAACTGATGCTTCTAGAAACTGAATTTGTTACTCTTAGAATTGTGCAGACTATGTTAAAGGCTTGAACATATGTTGGACAAAATGGTTATTTCTAGAGAGTTTGTTTAGACAAAAATGTGTTAAATAGTAATAAATATTCATGGAAGAATTTAGTTAAACTTGACGCCTTTAATAGTTTAATAGTAAGAGCTGAGTGAACCTAGAAACCTGGGAGAGCTAAGACTGCTTTGCTCAACAACAGAGAAGGAAAATGGAGGTATGGCAGAAAATACACTGTTAGAGTTGAGGCAAATATATGATGTTCGATTTACGTGAATTTAATTGATTCTAGGAAATAGCCTCTGAGAAAACATCTTAACCAATCTTGTAGTAAGTTAGACATTGTTGAATGGTCTTATGTCAATGTAATTCACTAACAGAAGCAGAGTAAAGACATTTATTTGGGGGACTTAACATATTCAAGGAAATATTTCATCATTGAAGCAGGTGACTTTAAGAGACTTAAAATGGCTTCATGCTTATTTTCTTTTTCAATTTTTGTAAGTTAGGAATATCAGCTGTCGAAAATATAAACCACAACTACATTTTAAAACTGCATATATAAACGTATTTTTTTCTCTTCTCTAAATTTCTACCTGAGGTCAGTGGAAATTCACCTCTAGTGCACAAATTCAAATTGAGATACAGCAAAGAAGTGATACTAATGGGGCTTTTTTTTTTAACCTAATAAGAAAAAATTCCTATTTTATAACAATGGAGATTGAATCAATTTGAGATGCTTATTATTGGGTCAGTAATTAATTATATATTCAATTCATCTTGCCATCAAATACTTTCTACACAGTGCAATGTTAGAGGCAGAAGGGAATGTGGAGAGAACACTGACATTGTGAGTTGGTAGGCAAAGACTCTAAGAGAATTCAGTGACTTTTACATTCTTGAGTCTGATTGGCACAGGGCATATGATGTTTGATAAAGAGCGGCAAGAATCACAGTGCTGGGCAGCCTCGTAGAGATCACTTGCTCCAAACCTCCATTTTATAGTCAAGGAAAGTGGGACCTAAAAGCATCATACACACAACGTTACATAGTTCATTGATAACATGCTGCTTAGTTCTCAAAGCTCAGTCACCCTATGTGTAAATTATGTTCAAGCCTTTCTAAATGAGGGAATATAGAGGAGTCCAGTTCTAACCCATCCTTCCTTTTTAAGTCTTTTAATAAGTACATTTGTCTCATCAAATACTTCTACTTCAAAAGCTTTTAAAAAATTAAAAATAATGAGGGAAAATTTCCTGGCAGTTATTCCGTGTTTTAGGGAACCCACTACTTAGTGTCATGGACAGTGGTCATGTGGATTTGTTAAACTGCGGATTTGGACCTTCGAAGGCAGATAATGGCCAGAACTCCAAAAATGTAAAATAGCTCTACCGGCCTGCACATGATGGAGAGCAGTATCCAGCAGCACCAAAATCTGACCCAAAGGAATCTGGGCAAGGGATTTGTGCAGGAAAGAGGGCAGCACTGAGGTACCAGCCTCCCAGATGTGAGGACAGAGAAGACCACCAGTCCACTGAAAGAGCAGATTCATGAAATCTGAAACCCTAATGGAGGAACAACCAGTCCAGTCCATTTAGGGGCAACAACTAGCTTTTTGCACTTGTATCACAGTCTGTAATGTATGAAGAGCTTCATCTATATGACCCCACAACATATAGGACTCTCACAGCAGTTTTTTTTCTGTTTCTGAGAATCTAAACAAAACCAAACATGATACTTTAAGAAGAAATCAACTTGATTTTTCTCCTTCAGCAGTAGCAGATTCTAACTATACTCATCCTTTCCATCCCTTCTTGGAGTAAGGTACTGAACAAGTTCAGCCTCTACATTTAGAGTTATGGCTCATCTAGTCTTTGCAAATATTCCAAGTAGAAAACAGAAAATGCCTCACTGGTATCCCTGGTTTCTCAGATAACCCAATTAGGGCATTAGGACCACAAGCTCATTTTCCTTATATGAATGATATTTTTGCAATAGTACCACCAATTGTATGCATCAAGACTCTACTACTAAATGCATAACCTCAAAGTGAATTGCATGCATTTTAACATTGTGTGGTTTGTTGATTTATGATTCTTCTTAATAAACATATTTCAAATTTTTGGAAGAATTCCACAGAAGAAGGGGAAAAAAGAAATTCAATTACCATTTTAGTTTTGTAAAACTATTCTGGAGAGGATAGCAGATTGAAAATTAGAATTTCCAAAGTTTTAAACCCAGGGGGAAAGCATTTGCTAGCATTTAAAAGGACTGCATATGGTACTTACACTGAAGTGCCAGAGATCTGGAGAGTTGATACCCTGAGTCCTCTTGATGAGCAATGAAGGTTGTTTCATTAAGTGCAAAGACATCATTCTTAATTTGAAAACCGTGGGCAGAAACAGAAGCTGGGCTAATTTTTCCAGTGCTAATTCTAGAAGCTTGGCCACTGAAAACTAAAGGTATTCTCTTTGAGAAAGCATATTATTTTTACTCATGCTAAAACATTAAAACATCTTAGCTGATCAGTGGGGTGAGATTAGAAGACGTCTTTTTTGAATTGTCAGATTGTGGTGTACAAGGGAGAGAGCCATAGGGCTTGGTTCAGAAGAGCTTGCTAAGGTACTCAGCTCCCAGCATTAAAAAAATGCTGTTGATATACCATTTTGATTGAAAACACTTCTTTGCAAACCCTAGTCTTGGGATAGGAGGAAAATAACAATGGCTACGATCACTACAACTGATTTGCTATGATTCTCTCTGCTGAAATTGAGATAAAATTTGCCACATGCCACTCTGAAATTGATTACCTTCCCAACTCAGTCAATAGCAAAGAACTTGGTCTCACTAATTCAGAGTGGCTTAGGTCATGCCTCCCGCTGACAGTGTGACGGAGAAGCCAAAAGGAGCAGCTCTAGGGAGGGGCAGAGAAGGCAGCTCTTTTATCAGAATCTTCCTCTTCTTCCCTTAATGCACAAATGGGTGAGTACAATTAATCTCTGTTCTGTTATATAAATATTATGGGTGGGTGGGGCGGGTGGACGGAACCCCTTTGTTGGTTTCCAGTAGCTCATTCTCATTGACCCAGAATGAAGGAGAATTGGCTGTGAATTATAAGTGTACACAATGTATATCTTTAGAGAGTGGAAAGAGGTCTGTATATAATAAGATTTGCTTAAAGTTATTAGAGTAGAAAATAATTTCCGACATACCAAACACTCTTCTAAGCTAACCACTATGTAGATATTCAGCATTCTTTCCATTTATATCGTTGTCTTTTCCTCCTTTTTTTCTAATCACCGCTTATTTTTTCCTGATTAGCTCACTGGAAATATAGTAAATCATCTTTTTTCTGTAGAGAAACACGTATGTATGAGGTTTTTGTAATGATTTCTCAAGGAAAAAAATGTGTATTTTAAAAGTACAGAGGATGGATGACGCTTTCAAAAAATATAGTTATTCTTACTAAAACCATGAGAGATAAGCAAGGAAGATCTGTTATTCTCAAATTAAAGACTATTAAACTAAGATAAATAGAAAGATAACATGACCTGTTATGTTTGTTGGGCCAGAAATTGCAGAAGCACATATAGCAACATACTCTCTATCTTAATAATGACACGTCCTGCAATTTAGGGCCCCCTGTATCTCACTTTAAGATAGCGTGGGCTTGTAGAAACAGAAAATGAACATCACACTTTTTAATAAAAAAATCACACTTTTTAATAACTAGAATTTGTATATTGCGGTTCAGGTTTGTTACTTTAATTGCAGGAATTTGGCAGCGGAGGGATGTGGAAGCCACTCTTTAAATTTTAAAAAGTTCTCTCCTTGCCTGACACAGATGCAAATTGCTTGCTCATTACATTCTACCAGCCTTTTAAAACACGTTTACCAAAGCAGAAGCATTCTCTGGCAGTAAGACAGCTTACCTGCCAAGCTTGACATTTCTATAACCAAATCAATATTTCAGTAGCCTCCAACTATAAATCTGATGTTGATTTGAATTCTAGAGAGTAATGAATGATCCAATTAGAAGACAAAAAAAAGCAAAAAAAAAAAATAATAATTAGAGTGTTTATTCTTCCCTGATGATAAGGAGTCCTTGACAAGACAGAATACTGTTCCCAGCAAGCCTCTTTCTGTAGGTGTAATTGATCTTAGAAGTTAAAGGTTTGTTTGCATTTTTAACATTGGGAGTTAAATATATTGCTTTGATAGAACTGTTAAGTGGCAGTTTAACTGCCCCCACAGTTTATTACTCCTTTGTGTCTGAAATATGCAAAAATGCTCTGCTAGGTAAGATATATTTACAAGTGAGCATGGACATGATAACCAAATATGCAGCACAGTTCCTATCATGTCCTGGGACCCATTAACTGTCTGTTGAGTGAATGATAAATGCTATTACACTTCTTTCTATCAGTTTTTTTCTTTTGGGAGTCAAGGATTTGATAAACATTTAAACTCATCCAAATGCTCTATTCTACTGCAAATTTATCCATTCAATTCCATCCATCATCCATTCATTCATTCATTAATTTATTTACCCAATCAATGATTATTGTAACTAATATGATCAAAACGGTAGAACATACAGAGATGAGACAAAAACTGACCATCATTCTAAAGGGCTTAGACCATTAGGGAGAACTAGATAAACAGATATAAACATATTTAAAATCCTAAGGATACAGTGATAAACATTCAAGAGAGGCACACAATGCTGTGTACACTCATTCTTTCCTCCTGGATAAACCAGCAATTTCTAGGAAAGAGCTGAGCCAATATGGTTCAGTTAAATTTTGTCATGCTGAGAAAGTAATGCTCTGATTCACACGTATGGGGTAAGCATCAGACAGGAATGAATCTGGAGTGTAGAAGCCACAATTTTAGGTCCCAGCTTGCCTGGGATATTAGGAGAATGAAATGATACTATTCTTAGAGGCCATGAATGCTAGGTTAAAGATTGTTCTTCCACAGGCAGTCGGGTTTTGAGCAGGGATTCACAGCTTTACATTTTGAAAGTTTGCTCAAGGAATCTTTGTTGTGACCAACTGGAGCTGGGGGGGTGGGGGTGGGTGTTGACACTAGAACAGCAGAGACTCGGAAAAATCATGGTCAAGGTGTTGAAAGGTCTATACTGTAGAAGCTGCAGTGAATGCATGGAAAAGGTAGATGAAGGAAATAAATTTTGAGATAGAATGCATATGACTTTCACTTACTCAACATACACATTTGATTTTCAACCTAATTCTGAGGACTATACGAGGCACTATGGACATGTGTATAAATAAAGGACCTCATATATGTATGATATATATGATATACCATAGTGGTATTTTCACTTGGCTCAAAATTTGTCTGTTTCGTTTATCTGTAGACTAGCAAGATAAATAATTGCGTGGATTAAAGAAGATGATAACATCAAGGATATGTCTGAGGTTTCAAATCTGGGTGAGGAAGGTGATTTTGAACCGCCTAGTGGTTGAGAGCACAGACTTTGGAGGCAGAAATGCCTGGGCTGAGGTCTCAGCTCTGTCTCTCATGAGCTGTGTCAGCTTTGAGGAGCCTGACCTTAACCTTCCTTAAGTTTCTGTTTCCATCTCTGTGCATCAAGAATCATAATGTATCCTTTACTGTTTGTAGTAAGAACTCAGTGAGACAATGCATATAAAGTCCTTACATTAGAGGCTGTAAATGAGTAATTACTATTATAATTGGTTTTAAAAAGTAAAATTAGTGGCAGAATATAGGGAGAAGATTATGAGTTCAGTTCGATCCATATCCAGTAAACATTTTGAAATGTGGATCCAAAGAAGAGCAAAGATTCTGAACTGGCATTGCTGTGTCCCGAGACGCTGGCTGAATAGTAACAATGGATGATGGAGCTTTTCCAGGGGTCACGTACAAAGAGGGGAGCCATGGACAGATCCTCGAGAAATAACTGAATATAAGGGGTAGGTGGAAGAGCCAGGAAATGAATGAAGAAACTGGTAATATGAGAGACTTACATGTTTCACTATCTTCTTCAAATTAAAATCATTTGCCTTGTTTAAGAAAAAAATACAGGGGCCAGCCCGGTGGCACAGTTGTTAAGTTTGCACATTTTGCTTCGGCTGCCTGGGGTTCTCCAGTTCAGATCCTGGGTGTAGACCTACCTACCGCTTGTCAAGCTAAGCTGTGGCAGACATCCCACATATTAAGTAGAGGAAGATGGGCATGGATGTTAGCTCAGGGCTAATCTTCCTCAGCAAAAAGAGGAGGATTCAAGGTAAATGTTAGGTCAGGGCTAATCTTCCTCAAAAATAAAATAAAATAAAATAAAATAAATACAAACTTGAATTTCAGCAACATCACATTTGATTTAACTTCATTGTAACTCAAATTGGACTTCTTAAGAATCTTATTTGATATAAGCACTTTACATTTTCCTAGGCTTAGGAATTTCTCCTTGATAATGGGTGTTTTGGGGCAGCACCATGTGATTAACCCCTCATTGGAGCTTTGTTAGAGAACCTAATTGTTAACTTTACCAACTTAGTAATTCAACAAAATGCTTCGCACAGAGACTTCAAGATTGCGATGTGTGACACCTGCCTTTACCACACTGCTTTTTTACTTGTAAAAATTTACATGTAGGGACAATTACTAGTAAAGATGTGAGCAGATGTGACTAGTAAAGAGAAGTGTCTGAATGATTTAATAATTTGTTTTCCCTTCAGTATAGGGGAATCAGTGTTTGAGAGAAATCTCAGTATGATAATTTGGGGCTCTAAGTAGCATCAAAAAAAAAAGTCTTCAAACCCTCAAAATGAAGTTCTCAGCACACGAGTTCCAGAAAGCAAGCTGAGTTTAATTAAACCTCTCACTATGTGACCGGAGCGTGTATTTTGAGAACTCAATCTGCTCAAATCATAGAGTTGCAATTAATTTCGATTTTTTATGCTAAAATTGTTTACTTTTTTTCTTTCCAAACAGGAACTCTAGAATCTATGGTGTTTGGAGTAATAAAGATAGCAAGTATCTACTTTAGGAGCTTATTAAAAATAGGAACTGCATAAATAACCACACCCAATTTCCTGTCTTTCTCAAATACAGTCACTAATGAGAAACAACAAAACAGGGGACATAAAGAAAATTAGTAAACTAAGACGACAGAGCAGCAATTCCTAGCACACACAACGGTTTAAGACTTTTTCGCTATGTTGCTGCAATATAGCACTACTCATGTTAAGGATATATTTTCTTGAGTCAGAACTTCCAGGTTAAATAATTTTAAGAAAACAATGACATGACTTTTGAATAAGTGCTATGATACAAGAAATGTAATACATGGCTAAGAGATGGGATTTCCTCCTAAGTTATTTCTAATGTTTGTAAGCCTCTTGTTGTTTTTAAAAAGAGACATCTGGCAGTAGAAGCAGCTGCATTATCTCTAAATACTATTCTTTCTACACAGTGAAATGAAATGGGAGCCAAAATAAAGTAGCTAGCCAAAAGGGTCTTCAAAGGAAAGGTAAGGCAAACAAAAATTTTGTTAAGGAATTAAGCTCCTGACATATTTTGAACTGTTGAAGCAAGTTGGCTTCTCTTCATGCTCAAGTAAAAGTTAATTCATTTAAAGCGATCCTTCTAGAGAAGAATACCACTGAACAGATAACACCTACTAATTCAAGTGTTGACTATTATTAACAGGTGTTGAAAATCTAGAGAGGACTGACTATTTCTGTTTCCTTCAAAGTTATATGGGAGAAAGATAAGACCATTGGTTGAAACAATACTTTAGAATCATCCATGGATATTTTTCCTTTCTCAACACCACAGCTTACTGCTTATGAACTGAATTAACAAAGCATTTATTTCACATAATAGTGTCCTAAAGATCTGGCCCTGAAAACTGTGGGACTGACTAAAAGATGAATTGATATTGAACTGAATTAAGTCAGTAATACATGGCAATTTGGTCATTTTAGTGATATTTGGAAACATATGGATTTAGATTCAAATCCTAGTTTTTTGCCTACTTTTTTCTTTTTTTTTTTTGAGGAACATTAGCCCTGAGCTAACATCTGCCGCCAATCCTCTTTTTGCTGAGGAAGACTGGCCCTGAGCTAATATCCATGCCCATCTTCCTCTACTTTATGTGTGGGACGCCTACCACAGCATCGCTTGACAAGCGGTGCCACATCTTCACCCGGAATCTGAACCCGCAAACCCCGGGCCACTGAAGCAGAACATGGTACTTAACCACTGCGTCACATGGCCAGCCCCTCTTTTGCCTTCTTAGTAGGTACTTGACCCTTGAACTGTAATAGATCTTATAGGGAGTCGTGAGGATTAAATGAAGTGATGTCTGTGGAGCCCACACAGTGTATAACACTCAACATAGTGTAGATAAGGGCACTCACTTGACTTTATAATCTCCTTCTCCCTTTGTGTCGGATTCGGCTTTGTGGAGTTAGAGCAAGGGACAATTATATTCGGTTTTATATCTATAAAAACACTCATGCCTGAATGAGAGAGTCTCTTATTGACTCAATGTCATCATAATAAGACCATGAAGTAGATTTTCTATTGTTAAAAACATTGGTTTTAAAACTATGGAAAGTCATAAATGAGTCATGGCAACCTTTTCACAAAAGCACAGATTATACAGAAATGTATGATTCATCTGTGTTTTCCTTAAACTTTTACCTGGGTGAGAGAGGAGGTTGTATTGATTTTTACATCTCCTTCTAGGATTATTAGAGTATATGCTTTAACTATGAAATTTATGCTCAAAATAGAGAGTGATAGCTGACACCAAATCCTCTACTTTAAACTGAATGGGAAACCTATTACAGTTTTCCTATTTTACACAAATTCTATAAAAAGAATGGATTTTATGATGTGAAAAAGGTTCAATAAAGAATAATAAAAATTACCTACAATCATAAAGAGCTACAGCTCATTTGATGAAGAGAATGTATATACAGGATATTTAGAAAAAATGCTCCTCTCATTCCCAAGCCCTCTCCCTTTAAAACATATAAGAGAAAATGAGTTCCATTTAGGATGAACATTTGTGGGGCTGGCCCCATGGCTGAGTGGTTGAGTTCGCACCTTCCCCTTCGGCGGCCTGGGGTTTCCCCAGTTCGGATCCCAGGTGCCGACATGGCATAGTTTGTTAGACCGTGTTGAGGTGGTGTCCCACGTGCCACAACTAGAAGGACCCACAACTAAAATATACAACTATATACTGGGGGAATTTGGGGAGAAAAAAAAGAAAAAAGAAAGATGAACATTTGTGAGTTTTTCTTAAAACTTAGAAAAATGGTGAAAACTTTGGTTGTTAGTAGTGTTTTTCCTGCATTTTATGAAATGTTACAATAAATAAACTGGCACACACATCACCTCTCACTTGTGTGAACAGATTTATAGAATAAATGCCTAGAAGTGTGATTGCTGAGTCACTGGATAGAAACTTTAAATATTAAAAGATAAGACAAATTTCCCTTAAAAGTTGCACTAGTTTATGTTGCCACCAAAGGCATACAAGCGTAAACATTTTACCACATCTTACCAGCACTAGATACTATCAACCATTTAATCTTTGCCAATCAGATAAGTGAAAATTGCATTTTGTTGCTTTAATTTGTCTTTCTTTAATCATGAGTTGGAGTTAACCTTTTCTCATATGATTATTAACCACTTGTGTATCTTTTTTTCTGAATTTTACCTGCTCAAGAAATTTGTCATTGTTCATGATCTGATATCATTCTCCTAATGATCCTGTGATAGAAGTGCTATAGTCATGCACATTTTACAGAAAATAAATCTAGGGCTAATTAATATTTAGTATCACGCCCTGTATGACCAAAATTATAAATGGCAAAGGTAAAGTTTGTACACGAGGTTGTCTAACACCAAGTTAATTGTCCAACCCACATGGCCATATTGAGCCCATCTCCTGCCTACAGAGACAATCACGTGGCTTTTGTCTTTTTATTTATACTATACCATTTCAATCATTCAGATATTTAGTCAGAAAGTATAAGTCCTAATTATGTGCCTGGCACTGTGACAGTTTCTGTATCTATAGCAATAAACAATTCATAATTAATAAGTACCTTAGTGAATATACATTTTATTTCAGTGTATAATTCAAAATAATCTTACAATTTAATTACAAATGTGACAAGTACAGCAAAGGAGAATTACAGGGCACTGGGCATATGAGTAACAGGCAGCTGACTGGCATCAGATTTAGGGAGCCCCGAATAAGCATAATCAGGGTGCATAATTTGTAAAAAATACTTTGGGAGATAAAAGACAGATAACAAATACTAGAGTGAAAATGTCTTAAAATTTTCATTTATCCTTACAAAAATGGTTTCATCCAAACTTTTAACTTGGTTTTGAAAAAATCCCCAAAATGTGCAAATTTATCAACCATTAGAAAAAATTTTTTTCTGAACCTTTATTTCTCTGACAAGCAGTAAACAGCAGATGGAAGGACCGAGATTTTCATAAGATGGAGAGAGGAAAATGTGTATATTTGGGGATACTAAGGAAGGTGGTAGATGAAGAGGTTCTTATAATAGAAATAAACCTTGAATGGACGAGGAAAAATCCACCTCTTTACTCATTCTTCTTTTTAATTAATAATCTACGTTTGCAGATATTTTTTGGAGAAATTAAATTGCTCGGTCGTATAATGCCTTAACTGATTGAGTTAACCAAACCAGAAAATAGAACATTAATCAGCTGTGGAATTCTGAACTGTTCTGCATATATCGAATATAGTTTCATTAACCATAAATAAGAGGAAATGTTTTTCATATCATAGAATATAAGCAGAAAGAAATTTGTGATATATTAGTTGAACCACATGAACTTGTCAATATTTGACCATTGTTAACTTACAAAAAGTGCAATTTGATATGGTTCAAGTACGTACGTGACCCATGTACAACAAACCCAAGTGCTTTTCCTATGTATTTACTCACAGACAGATGAATAAACACATCTATAGAGGATGTAAAACTTCTCATATACCTAACTCTGTCATTCACACATGTGAAGAGAGGAAAAGAGAGATTTAAGAAAAAAAAAGATGGAGAAAATAGAAAAAAATGCAAATATTTTAGAAGCTCTTGTAATTGGATATTAAAAACTCAAGTCATGAAATGCATACATTTCTTTCCCACATAGCTTCTCCTGCAACTAGTTCAGATAGAAGACAGATAAATGAGCCAGAGACCAGGAAGTAATTGCTGTCTGAAATGTAGCATCCTGAAGTGCTGCTTACATTTTTTTTCATTTTTCATTTTGGGGTTTTTTCCTCAAAAATAGTGCATTAAAAGAAAAAAAGAAATACAAAAAATAAAATAAAAAATATTCCTAACTTTGTTGAATCTATATTATTAAATACGTACACATATATGTGTCTATATGTAAAATATAGATATATATAAAACATACGAATGTATATCTAGATTTTTTAATTTTAGTCTTAAAAGAGCTAAATGACTTAGACTGTCATTAACTGAGATACCGCCCTTTCCTTTTATGGTACCAGAGATTGTTTAGAATGCTCCCTGGTGATGGAAACTAAAGAGTAATTGAATAATGTTATTTATTTATAACCTGTTTTTATTGGAGTAGAGGTAGAAAGTTGTTGAAGTCCATCAACTAGAGAATGTTCCAAAGAAAAATATTACTTCTACAAGATTAGATACAGTAGAAACTTTTAAACCATGAGAACATAGATCTCCATAAAGCATAATTTACAGACTTTTCAGAACTGCCTAATATGAACTAGCTATTGAGTCCTTACTTTGTACCAAGGATTATTCCAAGTGCTAGGGAATGAGACAAAGTCTTTGGTTTAATAAAGCTTAACTCGTTTCCAATGTTTTCCCCCATTTTAGTAAAGTTACAAGGAGATCTTCTCTTTCCTCTTTTGATGTATTTCAACATACCATGGCTTCTCCACCATACAAATAAAGTAAGTAGATTTTCACAAAGATTTACTGGTCCTTATGCCATAGTCAAGGCATGAAAGACTAGACATCAAGTGAAATATAGACATAATAAAGTTTAAGGTCAGAAAAAGAAAATCTGTTGAAAGTTTTCAGGTTACTGAGATTCTGACGTTTAAAAAGGGTATCAATTTTGTATCAAATTTGTTTGTAATAGCATATTTAAATAAACTAATTTTCCAGTAAATGAAAGTTTAAATTTTTAAAAATCTCCAGATAGTTTATTATACAACTAATTAATCACAAAAATAAATTACTTTATCACAAAATTAATTTACTATGAAACTCATTTGCCTGGACTTCTCAAATTAAAAGCTGGTCTTTTTGACCATCAATAACTGAACTAATGGCTATGATGAAATCTTTCCAGAGAATGCCCAGTAAGGAGACAAAAGTGTCTGAGGGTAGAGTAAGAGTACCAGAGAGTATTGGTATCAGTGGTATCAGAGAGTATTGTTTTTTCCCATGGCACTTGACAGAAGCCTAATAAAAATTTATTCACCAATGTTCTATTCTGGCTCACCATATCTTTGAGGAACATGTTCTAAATCTGAGAAGTTCTAGAAATATCACAAATGAAAGCAAAATACATGTAAAAAGAAATTTTACCTCTTAAAATAAACTTTTTAACTCCACATGAGTTAACATTTTTGGTATCTGACTACAATTATGGAGTATGCATTTGTGGATATTCATAAGAAAGACACTTTACTCTGGAAGAAGGAAAGGTGACATGGGGGAAAGAGCTACTCAGGATTTAGTGAGATCTCAGTATTAACTTTGGTTCTGCCACTTATTGACACTTGACTTTAGAAAAGATACTAAACTTTACCAAAGTTTAGTTTACCAAAACTTGCTGTGCCTTAAGTCCCTTATCTGTTGAATGGGGATATTATCCACCTTACTAGGTTGTTCTGAGAATTGAACTGGACAAAGTATCTTAAGTGTTTACCAATGAATAAACTTTTCATGTATTACCTCTTGTTTTCTTTTTTTTTTTTGCTCTCATAAAGTATATTTTGTTTAGCTATCTTCCTAAAGATTTTGTTTTTAAAGTTGATGGGGAACAGATTTAGTCAATGTTTCTCAATATAAGATTAGCTTCTTAGAAATAATTATATTTCAGGAGTCATCTTAACAATTCCTGGACATATTTTTTCCTCTAAGTCCCTGAATATTTCAGACAAAATCCTATCCCCAGCCCATGGCAGTTCAGATACTCACACCCTCATTTTTTTTTCTTTTTTTTGGTGAGGTAGATTGTCCCTGAGCTAACATCTGTTGCCAATCTTCCACTTTTTTCTTTTCTCTCCAAAGCTGCAGTACACAGCTGTATATCCTAGTTGTAGGTCATTCTAGTTCTTCTATGTGGGACGCTGCCACAGCATTGCTTGATGAGTGGTGTGTAGGTCCATGACCAGGATCTGAACTGGTAAACCCTGGACCCCTGAAGAAAAGCATGGAGAACTTTAACCACTTGGCCATGGGGCTGGCCCTGCTCACACCCTCATTTTGAGGTGTTTACACACTTCAAATAATACACACAAGAAATTCTCAATGAAATGAGGCTGAGAGAAGTTAAAGGGAAACTTGTAATAAGTGCCAACCTCTTCTTTTAAGAAGAGTTTTTCAAAGTGACAAAAGATATGAAGATCTCCTAGTAAATGACTCTTTATGACTCACTTACTAGTAACTAGATAATTGAAAGAGTCATAGAAGTGTTGAACACATCTGAATCTTTTTTTTTTTTTTGGTGGGGAATATTTGCCCAGAGCTATTATCTGTTGGCAATCCTCCTCTTTTTTTTTGCTTGAGGAAGATTGGCCAGAGTTAACATCTATGCTAATCCTCCTCTATTTTTTTTTTTTTTGTATGTGGGACACCTGCACAGCATGGCTGGAGAGTAGAGTAGGTCCACACCCAGGATCTGAACCGCTGAACCGTGGCCACTGAAGCGGAGTACGCAGAACTTTAACCACTTAGCCACGGGACCAGCTCCAAGCCTGAATCTTTTATTTTCCAGTTCATCATTTTAATGCCATGTTGTCCTTATTTCAACAGCGCTTATGACAGTAATGTAAAATCCTGTTACAAAATGAGAGAAATAAAGTCAATGACTGCACAGGGGTGATATTCAGAGCTAAAATGAACTAAAGCTCAGAAAATAAAGGCTCTAATTCTACCTTTGCTACAAACCACTCCTTGTGTTTTCTGGTTTGGAAAAGGGATTCAAAAATTCTGCTAACACACTATCCATGCTTTCTTTAGCAAATAAGAAGAAACTTATTTGCTCTATAGAAAGAAAATAGACACGACCAACCACCACGAGCAATTTATGAAAGATTTAAGAATTGAGTGAAAGTCTCCCTTTCTCCTAGTTCAATTTTCTTTCTACAAACCCAAGCTGCCTTCCTGAAAATAATTGTGCATACATAGAACTAATTATATTTACCTTTACAGTATTTGTGAAAGGCAGAGACTAATTTCATGCATTATTTTTATTTTACAGATTGAAGGAGAGTGAAGAACGAGAAACAGTAGACACAGTTAAATGATTATTCACTGATAGCAGGAGAATCAGGCAAATCCCACCACCTGTTTATGGCCTCCCAACACAGACTCACTGACCAGAGAAACCATCAGTAAGAAAGTCTAAAGTTATCTTTGTTCCTCAAAGCAATGAAATGTAACACTCACAGTAGTTTTTCTGGGTACAATAGCCTTTCTGGGTAGGCCACTGGACTTTGGGTATATCCATTTAACTTTCTGGGATTTAGCTCCAACATCTAGAAATAAAGAAATTGACTAAATAACCTTTGAGTTTCCTTCCATCTTTAAGTCTCTATAATTATGAAAAATATAATTATGAATATTACAATTAAAATTTTATTATGAATATAATTATATCATTAATTCCTTGAGCAATGGCAGTTCATTTAAATTAAAAATTATGTTATTTCTCTATATTTATATAAAATATTTCAAACAAAAATATTATTAGAAAATATTTTTTAAAAGTCTATGAATCCACTACCCAGCTTCAAAATGCTTAACAACTATTCTATTTTACTCAGAATTTTAAAAATATACTACAAATACAATTGAAAATTCTGACTAATGTCACTGAAGCCTACCCAGAAGCTATTTTGGGGTAATATATATTATTGTTACCATATATATTCTTATGCTGCTATAATCCATATTACACAGAATGTATATAATAGCCCTCTTTTTATATTTTAAGATTTTATTTAAATAGTGTATCATATCATTTAAAAAATGTTTTTGAGATATTTCTTCATTGATACAGTAGGTCTAGTTCATTCATTTCTAATTGCTCTTCAGTATTTCACTGTATCGAAATATATGAATCTATCTATCCATTCTCTTATTTTTGGACAAGGACATGAAGTGCTGATAAACTGACTCAAGAAACAAACAAAAAGACCCTGATTGCAGCACTTGCTGAGGAGTATACCAAGACTGATTTCAATCTACCAATGGCTTAACAGCCGGCTCACAGGATTTCTGAATTTTTACAAGTCAGCTTTCTAAGATGAGCCTTCACACTACCTACGCCTTTCACAGAGGCAGATATATAGCAGACTAGGTAGAGTCTTTCTCTCTCTCATTCTCTCTCCCCTTCTCTGTCTTCACCCTCAGCCCACCCCCTTCCTCCTTCTGCTAACAAATACAGAAAACATACTTACACTTTAGGAAAATCTTTTCAAAAGCTAATTCTGACTTGCTGAATAGAATGCTAACCAAGAGTGAAAAGTCCATTTTAACTTTTTAAACTTTTTTTAATGGATTATTCTTTTGGTGTCACATTAATGAAAACTTTTCCTAATCTAAGATCATGTAGAATTTTCTCCTATATGTTCTTTCAGAAGTTTTATAGATTTAGGTTTTAGACTTAGGTCAACAATATATGCATAGTTTTTTGAATATGGTACCAGGAATGAACAGAAATTCTTTCTGTTTTTTTTTTTTTTTTTGCATATGGGGAACCAATTATTCCAGCATCATTTGTGGAAAAGATTATCCTCTGTGTGCTGCATTGTTTTTGTTCCTTTGTTAAGAATCAGTGGTCCAAATAAGTGTGGATCTGTTTCTGGACTTTCCATTCTGTTCAGTTGATTTGTCTATTTTTACACCAACACTTACAGTGTCTTAATTACTGTAGTTTATTCAAAATTAAAACTTCTCTTCATAAGGTCCCATGAGAGAATAAAAAGACAAGCTACAGAATGGGAGAAAATATTTGCAAAGCATTTATCTGATAAAGGGCTTGTATTCATAATATATAAGAGTATAACTTACCAAGAGGCAGGAAAATATACAACTTCAGGCTACTCTAGCCATTCTGTCCCATATAAGGGAGGAAAAAACCACAACTGAGAAGCACAGGTTAAGTTCACAGACCAGGAGCATGGGCTCGCCAAAAGACTGAGCCTAATCACAGGTCTATAGAACACTTCTGCTTCCCCACACCTCACCACAACATTATTAAAGGCTTATTTACCACAGTTCCTTTTATCCAGTATATAATATACATCTTTCAGCAAAAAAAATTATGTCATATTAAAAAGCAAAAACACAGTTAGAAGAGATTGAACAAGCATCAGAACCAGAGTCAGATATGGCAAGATTGTTAGGATTACCATTTTTAAAACCTATGATTAATATGCTAAAGATTTTAATGGAAAAAGTAGACAACATGCAAGAACAGATGGATCATGTAAGCAGAAAGATGGAAATTCTAAGAAAGAATCATAATGAAATGTTGGAGATCAAAAACATTGAAATAGAAATGAAGAATGCCTTTGATGTGCTCATTAGCAGACTGGACACAGCTGAGGAAAGAATCTCAGAGTTTGATAGATGACAATAGAGCTTCCAATACTAAAAAGCAAAGAGGAAAAAGACTTTAAAAGATAGAATAGAATATCCAAGAACTGTGGGGAAAGTACAAGTATAATATATGCACCATGAGAATACCAGAAGGAGAAGAGAGAAAGAACACAAGTAATACTGGAAGTAACAAAACTGAGGCATTCCCCTAAACTAATGTCAGACATCAAAGTACAGATCCAGGAAGCTCAGAGAACACTGAACAGGATAAATGCCAAAAGAATCCACACCTAGGCATATAATATTCAAACTTCAGAAAATCAAATACACAGAAAAATATTGAAAGAAGCCGAAGGATAAAACCTTACCTGTAGAGGAGCAGAGAATGACACCTGACTTCTCCTCAGAAACCATGCAAGCAAACACAAAGTGAAATGAAATAGTTAAAGTGTTGAGGGGAAAAAACCCCACCAACCTAGAATTCTATACCATGCAAAATTATCTTTCAAAGGTAAAGGAGAAATAGACTTTCTCAGACAAACGAAAATTGAGGGAATTTGTTGCCAGTAGACTTGCCTTGCAAGAAATGTTAAAAGAAGTTCTTTAGACAGAAAGAAAAAAACATAGGTCAGAAACTCAGATCTACATAAAGAAAGCACTGGAGAAGGAACAAGTGAAGGCAAAGTAAAAAGTTAAATCTATCTTATACTTAATTGATCCAACAGATAACAGTGCAGCCAAAATAACAATAGAAACAATGCATTAGATTGTTTGCTTATGTATATTGTTATATATATTATATATATGTGTACACACACCCCCACACACATATATATACACACACACACATACACACGCATATGGTCATGTGCCACATAATGACATTTTGATCAACAATGGACTATATATACCATGGTGGTTCCATAAGATTGGTATCATATAGCTTAGGTGTGTAGTAGGCTGTACCATCTGGGTTTGAATAAACGCACTCTATGATGTTCACACAACAACAAAATTGCCGAACAATGCATTTCTCAGAACATATGCCCATCGTTAAGTGATGCATGACTGTGTAAATACTTATTACAAGTGAAATGAATGACAGTAATGCTACAAGAGATGAGGGGGAAGAAGAGAAATATTTTGTTATTGTAAGTTGTCACTGGCATTTGTACTACCTGTGAAGAGGTATAGTGTTACTTGAAAGTGGACTTGGATGAGTTGTAAGCGTACACTGCAAAATCTAGAGCAACCAACAAAAAAAGATTTTTTAAAAAGTGTAATTGATATGCTAAGAAATGAGAGAAAATGGGATCATATAAAATGCTCAATTAAAACCACAAGTCAGAAAATGTGTGAAGACAAAAATAGGAACAAAGAACAAAGACAACAAATAGAAAATGGTAACAAATACAGATATTAATCCAACTATATCAACAATCACTTTAGATGCCAGCAGTCTGAACATACCAATTATAAGAGAGAAATTGTCAGAGTGAATCAAAAAATAGGACTCAAATAGATTTTCTCTACAAAAAACTCACTTTAAATATAAAGTTACCTATAGATTAAAAGTTAAGGGATGGAGAAAGATATACCAGGGTAACATTAATAGAAAGCAAGAGTAGCTACATTAATTTCAGAGAGAGAAGACTTCAGAGCAAGGAGAGCTATAAGAGATAAAGTGCAGCATTATATAATTATCATTACACAACAATAAAGGGGTCACTTCTCCAAGAAGACATAACAATCCTCAATGCACTTAAGAACACAGACTCAAAATACATGAGGCAAAAACTGATAGAACAGCAATGAGAAACAGATGAATTCACTATTATAGTTGGACACTCTGGCACCCTTTATCACAAATGGACAGATCCAGCAGGCATAAAATCAGGACAAATATGGTTGAACTCACTATAATCAATCAACTGGATATAATGGACAGCTATAGGCTTCTTCATCCAACAACAGCAAATTACACACTATTCTCAAGCTCACATGAATCATTCACCAAGACAGACCACATTCTGGGTGATAAGAGACATCTTAACAACTTTACAAGAATAGAAATCATACAATCTCTACTCTCAGACCACCATGGAATTAAACTAGAAATTGAACTAGAATCACATGTGGTCAGTTCAGGGCCTGAGGTCTACATGGAGAGGCAAAAGACTCAGAATAGCCAACTCAATATTAAAAGAAGAACAAAATGGGAGACCTGATACCACCTGACTTTAAGGCTTATCAATCAAGACAGTGTGGTATTGGTGGAAGAGACAAATACATCAATGGAACAGAGCAGAGAGCCCAGAAATAGACCCACATAAATATAGGCAACTGATCTTTGACAAAGGAACAAGGGGGATATAGTGAAGCAATGCTAGTTTTTTCAACAAATGGTATAGAACAACAGTATATCCACGTTCAGAAAAATGAACCTAGACACAGACCTTACGCCCCTCACAAAAATCAACTTAGAACAGATTATAGCCCTAAATGTAAAACACAAAACTATAAAACTCCTAAAAGATAAGAAAAGAGAAAACCTAGATGACCTTGGGTATGGCAATGACTTTCTAGATAGAACACCAAAGACATGATCCGTGAAAGAAATAAATGATAAGTTGAACTTCATTAAAATTAGAAACTTCTGCTCTGCAAAAGACAATCTCAAGAGAAGCAGAAGATGAGGCACAGACCAGGAGAAAATATTTGTAACAGATACACCTGATAAAGGACTGCTATTCAAAATATACAAAAAACTCTGAACAAGAGAATGAGCAGCCTGATTACAAAAGTGGGGAAGTGATATGAACAGTTACCAGAAGATACACAGATGTAAAGTCAGATGTTCAATATCATATATTCCCTCATCTTAAACCTATCACTGATCACACATGCTTGTCTTAAATAATTTATTCCTCCTCTTAGCTTGTTAAGCACTGTGTACTTCTCACAGAACTTCTCATTTTATAATGTGTGTGCATTACAACATGTACCCCCTGACAAGGTAAACATTTGGGGGGCACAGGGGCCATGTCATCTTCTGCTTTGAGGTTCACAGAATGGCTGAACAAGGATGGAACCCAATAAATGCTTGAGCTTGTTGATTTTAATAAGAATAAGATCAAGTGCTAGGCGTATATATAGCAGGTACTCAATAAATGTCAATTTCTTTCCTTCCTGGTGTATCTCAAGTAATCAGAGAAGGTGTCTAAATTGATTGTGGGAAATAATTCTCAAGGGTCTGACGAGTCTTATTGTACTTTTCCAAAACACCAATGCTGACTTCATTTATTTCATTAAAATCTGATTGATAATTATAATAGATAACCTAGAGGAGACTATCTTACACGATCACTTGGACAGCATAAGTCTTTTTACGTATTGCACTTTGAAACATATGCATTTTTGTGTTCATTGTTAATGTTATATATTTTGTTATGATTTCTGAAATATATATATATATTTTCTTTTTTTCTGAGGAAGATTTGCTCTGAGCTAAAATCTGTTGCCAATCTTCCTCTACATTGTATGTGGGTCACTGCCACAGCATGGCTGGCAACAAGTGGTAGGGAACAAAACCCGGGCTGCCAAAGTGGAGCATGCTGAATTTAACCAGTAGGCCATAGGGCCAGTCCCTGAAATGTATATATTTTAATATAATATTCTCTTTAATTTATATAGAAAATCTGAAAACTTTTAAAACCTAACATCCCCAACTGTGTTTTGAGAAAGATTTCATCATGCTGTTAGTGAGTACTCCCTCCAAAATGAGAAACAATTTGGGAAATGCTTGTTTAAGCAAGTTTTTAATATGCTTATGTGCATTAAGAAGCTCCAAGAACGAGATCTGAGATTCGGTTGTTTCCGATAAGACATGGCAATCAAACCATTTAATGTTGTTCAGGTTTTTTTTTGTTTGTTTTGAACACCTGTTAATATTTCTCATCATTAGTAAGACATTTTGGAAAGTAGTGTTGTAAGGTGATGAATTTTCATCAACACACAATGCAATGTACTTCCATACAAAAGAAGAATTTGAAGAGTTCATATCGCCACAACCAGTTTCAAAGGAATGGAAGGAACATGAACAGATTGGATAATGCTCACCAACAAAGCATTGTGTCATTGTCTGGTTGCTTTGGGTATGAATATGAACCACTTTCAGAAATGATCCTTCATTTAAATCAGATATAGCTTCTAAGTGAATGACATTTAAATACCACACCTGATATTTGCTCAAATGAGATTACGATACTTTAAAATTTTAAAGGAGTATGTTCTCTGAAATGAATGTGGAGACCAGAGAAGAGGGAAATACTGAAAATTTTTAAATAGAAAAGTGGTCACACCGACACGAGGAGATCCCTGGCTCTGAGGAGAATGCTCATTCCATTGGGTTACATTTAGTCTGAGTGATGACTTCAATGCTGCCTTCTAAACTGACACTGAGCTGAACAATAAAAATGAGCTTTAGCATGTTAATATGGGAAATAGGATTTCTCTTATTTATCTCTTTAAATAAAATAATCTAAAACAATGAGAAATATTCATCATTTCTTCTGTTTCTCAAATCTAACTGAGGAATGAATCCATTAGTCACACTGGGTAAAACAATAAGGGACTATCTCCTTGGAGGTTTTATTGCATTATTTACAAAAGTAGGCAATAATTTATTGTCTCCAGGAGATTACTGTCATGGAACCTAGAAAAATTCATACACTTCATCTCTATTCAATATATATGGCAATTGCAGCATTTTTTTTTTTTTTTTTTTTGGTGAGGAAGTTTCACTGTGAGCTAATATCTGTTGCCAATCTTCTTCTTTTTTTGCTTGAGGAAGATTAGCCCTGAGCTAACATCTGTGCCAATTTTCCTCTATTTTATATGTAGGTTGCTGCTACAACATGGCTTGATGAGTGGTGTCGGTCTGCACCTGAGATCCGAACTTGAGAACCGGGCCGCTGAAGCGGAGCATGCCAGACTTAACCACTACACCACGGGGCTGACACCACAGTGTTTTTATTACTAAATAAAATATTTTTCATTAAATCCTTTTGCCACAGTGTTATGGGATTTTAGAATGATCTTTTCTGATCTTCAACTATGGTCTCTTGTTTCGCCAGTTCTAACTTTTTATTATTGCTGTTGTTCTTAAGTTTCTTAAAGCAGAATTTTAAAACTGAACATCTGAGTTTTTCACTGACGATTAACATTCTATTTAGAAAGCTGGAATTTGTTTTAGAAAAGATTTTTCTAACCTATTTTGCGTTTGTCAAAAGATATATCGAGAGAGGGTGAGAGAGCAGGGATGGAGGGAGAGAAAGAGGGAGAGAGGGATAGAGAGAAAGAGAGACAGAGAGCATGAGAGAAAGATTCCCTATATTTTACCAATATCTTCTTCTAGGAAAGTCTAAGTAGTATGATGGCTCATGCCAGGAAGCTGACTGGTAAATAGTTAGAAATCCTGAGAGCCAGTTGTTAAACCATTGGTAGCTTGAAATCAGTCTTGGTGTACTGCTCAGCAAGTGCTACAAATGGCGGATGGTTGCTGTTTGTTCTTTTTATTCACTGGGACCATGAACATATTAACATATGTTTGAGAAAATGTAACAACATGTTAAAGATTCTTAGAAGTCCTGTAGCTAAAAAAAAGTATACTTATTAGACCAAATATTATCCAAATTTTATGAAGAAAAAGCTTTCTGAGTATATATAATCCAAGTAAGTAATTTTTCAAATAAATTTTTAATGGCTCTCCCCTTGAAAGTATGCTCTAGCCTATGAGTCATAGAGAGATAAGAAATATTTTCAAATCATGCATCTGATAAAGAGTTCATATCCAAAATATAAAAAGAACTCATATAACTCAATAGCAAAAAAACAAAAAATCTGATTTAAAAGTGGGCAGAAGAGTTGAATAGACTTTTTTCCAAAGAAGAGGTATAAATGACCAACAGGCACATGAAAAGATGCTCCACATCACAATATCATCAGGGAAATGCAAATGAAAACCACAATGAGATATCACCTCATTAGAATGGCTATTATCAAAAAGACAAAAAAATAAGTGTTGGAGAGGATGTAGAGAAAACGAACCTTCCTACGCTGTTGGAAGGAATGTAAATTGGTGCAGCCACTATGGAAATTCCTTGAGAAATTAAAAATAGAACTACCATATGACCCAGCAATCCACTTCTGGGTATTTATCCAAAGAATATGAAAACACTAATTGGAAAAGTATGCACTCCTTTGTTCATTGCAGCATTATTTACAATAGCCAAAAGGAAACAACCTAAATATCCATCAATGGGTGAGTGGATAAAGAAAATGTGGGATACACACACACACACACACACACACACACACACACACACACACATAATGAGATACTGTGTAGCCATAAAAAAAGAGGGAAATCTTGCCATTTGTGACAACATGGATGGATCTTGAGGTATTATGCTAAGTGAAATAAGTCAGGCGAGAAAGACATATACCACATGATTTCACTTATACGTGGAATCTAAAAAACATAACAAAAACAAACTCATAGGGGCTGGCCCTGTGGCCCAGTGGTTAAGTTCACGTGCTCCGCTGCGGTGGCCCAGGGTTTCCCTGGTTCGGATCCTGGGCGCAGACATGGCACTGCTTGTCAGGCCACGCTGAGGCAGCATCCCACATGCCACAACTGGAAGGACTTGCAACGAAGATATACAACTATGTACCAGGGGTGATTTGGGAAGATAAAGCAGAAAAAAAAAGGATAAAAAGATGGGCAACAGTTGCTAGCTCAGGTGCCAATCTTTAAAACAAAACAAAACAAAAAACAAAACAAACTCATAGATACAGAGAACAGACTGATGATTATCAGAGGGGAAGGTGGTTGGGGAGTGGGCGAAATGCATGAACACAGTTAATTGTATGGTGACACATGGTAGCCACACTTATGGTGGTGATCACTTTCCAGTGTATACAAATATTGAATTATAATATTGTACACCTGAAACTTATATAATGTTGTATACCAATTTTACCTCAATAAATAAATAAATGAAAGAACAAGTTCCTTGAAAACCACATCATACCAAAACAAAGACAAGAAGAATCACAAAATCTGAATAGTGCTATGTTTATCCAAGAAATTGAATTCACAGATAAAAATCTTCTTATAAAGACATCCACATGCCTAAATGGCTTGACTGGTGAATTCTATAAAATATTGACCTAAGAAATCAAGAGGCCAGCCCAGTGGCACAGCGGTTAAGTTCACATGTTCCACTTCGCCAGCGCAGGGTTTGCCGGTTCGGATCCTGGGTGCGGACATGGCACCACTTGGCACACCATGCTGTGGTAGGCATCCCACGTATAAAGTGGAGGAAGATGGGCATGGATGTTAGCTCAGCGCCAGTCTTCCTCAGCAAAAAGAGGAGGTCTGGCAGCAGATGTTAGCTCAGGGCTAATCTTCCTCAAAAAGAAAATATATACACATATATTGACCTAAGAAATCTTACCAATTCTACATAAAACCTCAGAAAACAGAGAAGGATTACTTCCCAACCAATTTGATAAGGCCAGAATAACTCTGATTCCAAACCTCACAATGTCATTACTAGAAAATAGTCATAGACCAATATCACTTGAAAACATAGATGCAAAGATACCTAACAAAATATTAGCAATTTGAATCCAGCAATTCATAAAGAAGATAATGCATCATGAGCAAAGGTGTTCATCCCATGAATGCAAGGTTAAAAAGCAATCAGTATAATTCATCCTACTAACAGAAATTTTTGTATTGGTCATTTTCTTTCCAAAATTATACAGTTTTTTACGTATACTCCTACTTTCTTTGTGAGCCATGTTTGAAATGAGTGGCAACTGAACGAATAAGCACTGGCCCTTTTTAAATTCTCTCTACCTGGGCATTCAGCTTCTTATGCAACATAAACACCTTGCTCCATTCGCATTACTAACTATAAATCAGATGAACATTATTTTAATATTATGTAATATGTTTGTCTAAAGTCCTTAGGCATATGTACCCAAACTACCAGCCACTGAGTCTTTTTAGGTCACATTGCCACATGAGAAAGGTAGTGAATTCTACCTACTGTGCCAGGTTCAGAAGCTTCCAGTGGAAAAACCCCACAGGTTGAGGCAGTTTTACCACAGTTATCCCAGGCTGCAGAACCTACACTGCCAAAGCAGGTAATTGTGAAACCCAAACCAGCTGGTGGCAGGAAGGAATCAAGCTGTGTGAGAGTATCTGGCCACTGGATTGCCAAATGCTGATCCAGGGCTGGATGCTGACCTACTTACTCAGTGCAAGTGTGAAATTATGTTTTCCAGCCTCCCTTTAGAGTAGACTCAGATATAACTGAATTCCCAAGTGACCTCCAGCTCCTAATCCCCCTCAAACTAGGTGGTTTCCTGAGTGACCTAGGCTAGTCATTGGAGTCAATAGGGTGGAAACAAAGTAACCATATCACTCACATTTCTCTTTTGCCTTCACTTGTGTAACATAGACTTATAAATGCAAGGTGTGTTTAATTAATTGAATTGGTGACTCAAAGGGAATATATAATATATACATAAATGGACGCTACCAATGTGTTCACACTCCAATTTATAAATCTTAATTCACAAGTGAATATCTTTTCCATTATCTTAATAATAGCCACTCTTTTGACAAGTGCTTAAGGAATTGATAGTCTTTATACTTAGTAATATAAATACTAGATAGTGAATTCTTTTGTATTTATATTACTAAAGAAACCTGTTTTATTGGTGGTCAGCTGATCAAACTGTGGGACTTGCCATACATAGGTGAGGAGTGACAAAGAGCAAAGAGCTTGCTTAGAAGGCCTGGTTGACTTCAACACAACTGGCTGAAATCTTCCACTGGTCACTGGGACCCAAAAAGGTCTTTTTGTCACCGAGTTGCCTTGATGTGACCTACCCTCCCTTCCCTGTAATTTTTTTCTGAGCATTATGAGTGTGGGGTCTCCTTCTCAGAGTCCTTTCTAGGGTGTAACCAATTGCCTAGGGCTGTCCTAATTGAGCACAGCTCTCTGGGGAAAATGCAGTTCACAGGACTATTTATGCCCTGCTCCCATCTTGTCCCTTGGATAAAACCTATTTTGTATTTGTACTGTGTTAGTATGCTAGAAGTGCCATAACCAAGGACCATAGACTGGGTGGCTTAAACAACAGAAGTTTATTTTCTCACAATTCTGGAGGATAGGAGTCCAAGATCGAGTTGTCTACAGGGTTGCTTTCTTCCAAAGCCTCTCTCCTTGGTTTTTGGGTGGCTGTCTTCACATTCACATGCCATTCTTCCTTTAGGTGTCTGTATCCAAACTTCCTCTTCTTCTAAGGACACTAGTCATATTGGAGTAGGGCCCACCCCAATGACTTCATTTTAACTTAATTATTTCTCTAAAGACCCTATCTCCATATACAGTCACATCCTGAGTTACTGGCAGTAAAGACTTCAATATATGAATTGGGGTGGAAGGGCACAATTCAGCCCATGCCATGTACTGTATGATCCCAGTGGTGTGACTATCCTTGCCCCCTTTTTCCAACAGTAGACAAATGTTTATGGAAGATCATGTTCCATCTGTGATCTTTCTGTTCCTTTCTGATGAAATATTATATCACTTCTACATCATAATTTTACTTTACATGTATTTATTCCTTGACTCCAAAACTGGTTTGCAAACCCCTTGAAGGAAGCATCTGTGTTTAAAAGTAGTGCATGCACAACTATTATTAATTAATAAAAATGATATCTGAAAGGAACAAAGCCTAGAAAATTATTTTCCCCCAGCCCTGTCCACAGAGATTTAAGTGTCTTGTCCTTTTGAGGCAAACAATTTTATATGGATTAAAGAATGAATAGTAATTTGAAATCCTCTCAATACTAAAGCAGACTTTTAATCAGG